TCTATGAATTGAAGGAGGGCCAGCAAATCAAGCCCCAGACCCTGGTGAGTATGGTGTCCAGCCTCCTGTATGAGAGATGGTTTGGACCTTACTACATAGAGCCAGTTATAGCCAGGCTAGACCCTGTCACAAACAAGCTTTTTATCTGCTCCTTGGATTTGATGACAACGGATGACTTTGTGGTCAGTGGGACCTGTGCGGAGCAGATGTATGGCATGTGTGAATCCCTCTGGGAGCCAGATATGGAACCAGATCACCTTTTTTGAAACCATAGGCCAGGCCATGCTCAATGCGGCTGACAGATACACAGTGTCAGGTATGGGTGTGATCATTCATGTAACTGAGAAAGACAAGATAACTACCTGAACACTGAAAGCTCACATGGACTAACTAAAGATGTAGTTTTGGGGGGATGCTCAACCTTTTTTTTAAAAAAAAAAAAACCTTGATGGCTGGAATGCAGCTCTTGGATTTTGTTTTTTAAACCCATACTTTTGCTGTCAAGGAAAGTGGTTGTATATAATGTGGTATTATTGACAAATAAAAAGAACGCTTGCTTTTCAATTGTAAAAAAAAAATGCTTTGGTAAAACCTGGAGACTTGGTCCTCCTCCCCCCTATTGTGTCTAGTCTCAGGCTTAAAGGGTAGGATCTGACTAGATTTTCTGCTGGTGAAAGACAGAAGAGGCGGTCTCTTTTTCACCAGCACATTTTTGACCACCAAAATGACTGTGCTGGGACCTACATGGACAAAAATGATGTGGTCCAAGGCCTGTAATAAGGAGGGGAATTGAGGGTTACATTGAATAGGGAAGTATTGCTTCATATCCTTATTTATAGCTCAGAGTTATGGGGAGTTGCTGTTGTTCTTGTTATATTGCATTTCACATATTTGTGTTTTGTTGTTATAAAACAGAGGATAGAATAAACTGATACAGAACAACATATTTTCACTGCATTATCCAGCTAATTGTATGCAGTTCAAGTGATTCAGGATGCCACTGAACATAGGCCCTTGAAAGTGTTATACACTGTTCCACTGCTGGTTACCCTTGTTTTCTAACCAAGAAATGACTGTGGCTAGTTGGAGCTCTTTGGGTGACCCACTTGGAAGTGCCATATTTTCACAGCCTTCTGTAAGTCGGTCAGTCAGTCAGTCAGTCAGTCAGTCAATCAGTTAGCCTTTATTGGCATTAAACAATACCTTAAAAAAGGATTACTATAAAATATACATATAAAACCATACATACTACATAATATTGCATAATGTTACATAAAACTATTTGTTACAAAGTGTTGCTCATTTAGATAGTTTTTCCTTATGTAGCTTTATAGCTGATTGTAAAAACATGGCTACCTTAGTTGATATTTCAGTAACAGAGTCATTTAGGAGATGGTGCACTTTTAAAGCATCAGGAAGGTCTGTCATGTTGGCTAAAATAGGGCTTAAATATCTAAAACGTATATCTACATAAAATTGGCAGTGCAAACAGATATGTGTAACTGTCTCGATGCATCCAGAGTTACAATGGCAAAGTCTAGCCGTATATGCTATATTATTATATCTCCCATGCAAGACTGCTGATGGTAGTGCATTGAATCTCGTTAGTGAAAAGGCTTTGTGCTGTTGTGGTGCTTGTATATTAGACAAGTATGGGGCCATTCAGCCTATTGTGAGGGGAATCTCAAAGTTCAGAGGGGAGCAAGATTTGTTGGCTAAGCTGTATAGCCTTTGTGTTTCAATGTCAAGGACTCTGTGTTTAATCATCTGAAAAGCACCCCTAAAAGGGAGCATAAGCAGTGAGTCCAATGGGATGCTCATGGCAGTTATTTTGTTCTCAATGTGTGGAAGCCAGTTAGACATGTTTAACTCTATGAGCATTTGTTGTATAAGGCTCCCCTGGTCTACACGGTAATGTAGACGCAGCCAATATTTTATTGTCATTAGCCATGCACCAGATTCCACAGAATTTAACCCAGTTTCTAAACACAAGGCTGCATAAGGTACACAGCGCGACATTCCCATGGTCTTTTGAAGAAATTTAGATTGAACACATTCTATTTTGACATTAAGTGCACTTATCCATATTGGAATACCATACATGAGTCGGGGGATTACTTTGGCCTTGAAGACTTTTAATGCAGCTTGTATGAATTGATTGCCTCTGGTGTAGAAGAATCGGGAAATGGCAGAAGCATTTATGTTGGCCATATTTATTGCCGACTTACACTGCACAGACCAAGATGCATTATACTGGAAGTGCAGACCTAATTATCTAAATTTTTTAACTTGTTCAATTGGTTTGCCTCCAATTGTCCATTTGAATGGTTTCCAAGTTTTGGAAAAGACAAGTATTTTTGATTTTTCATGGTTTAAAAGTAATTTATTAGTTATAAAATATGAAATACATCTATTTAGTGAATGCTTTAAGTCAACTTTGGAGCAGGACAACAGTATCATGTCGTCCGCATATAGTAGTAGAGGGACATAGATAGAGCCCAGTTCGGTGGCAAGGAAAATTGGCTATTGACTGTGAGGCATTTGTGAGTTATTTTACAGATAAGATCATGATGCTCCACCAAGACCTCTCAACCACAATTGAGACGGTAAGGGAACTGGAAGCCCCTTGTCCATCTTTCGGTCTGACACTGGACCACTTCAACTGACTCTCCTAGGAGGAAGCTGACAGGATCCTGGCAGTGGTGAGGCTCACTGCCTGCCTCCTCAATCCATGCCCTTCTTGGCTGGTGAAAGCCTGTGCGGAGGGCATTTGGGTTCCTCTGGGGGAAATCGTCAACTTGTCCCTTTCTACCAGGATTTTCCCAGGGGCTTTGAAGGAGGTGGTAGTTCATCTGCTACTGAAAAAAACCATCATTGGAACCTACAGTCCTGTTCAACTACCGCCCAGTGTCGAGCTTACCATTCCTGGGTAAGGTGGTTGAGAGGGCGGTGGCTGAACAACTCCAAGCTTTCCTGGATGATGCTTCCATCCTTGTTCCTTTCCAATCTGGCTTCCACCTCAGCCATGGGACAGAGATGGCTTTGGTCACCCTTAAGGATGATGTCCGTAGACATCTGGATCGAGGCAAGTCAGCGCTGCTGTTGCTTTTAGATCTAACAGCAGCATTTGACATGGCTATGACCTGCTGACCCACTGCCTCGCCAGCATAGGAGTTCGAGGGATCGCCTTGCAATGGCTTTCCTCATTTCTCCATGGTCGGGAACAGAGGATGGCACTTGGCAAGAGGGTCTCCCTGCTATACCTACTGGAATGTGGAGAGCTATTTAACACCTATATGTGCCCCCTCAGCCAGTTAGTCCAGAGGTATGAACTGGGTTGTCATCAATATGCAGATGACACCCAGCTCTATCTGTAATTGGATGGCCATCCATTTTCTGCCCCTGATAATTTGGCTGAGGTTTTGAAGGCCATGGCTGGGTTGTTGTGGCAGAGCTGGTTGTAGCTTAATCCATCGAAGACAGAGGTCTTGTACATGAAGGGGGGGGGAAATGAATATGGGTATTGTGCTCCTCACTCTGGAAGGGGAGCCTTTGGTGCCGGTCAAGAAAGTGAGGAGTCTGGGAGTAACACTGGATGCCTCTCTTTCTATGGAGGCCCAGGTTGCTGCAGTCGCCAGGTCTGCCTTTTTCCATCTTAGGCAGATTAGGTTACTGAGACTGTATCTCTTCTCTCAGGACTTAGCTACAGTGTCCCATGCAATGGTCACTTCCAGGCTTGATTACTGCAATTTGCTGTATGCAGGCTTACGCTTGATGCTGACCCAGAAATTACAACTGTTGCAAAATGCGGCAGTCACCTGCTGATTGTGACACCTGTGCGGGCTCATGTTCACCAGGTGCTCCGCCAACTGCATTGGCTACCGGTTGAGTTCCAGGTACGCTTCAAGGTGTTGGTAATAACCTTGGACCAACATATCTGAGGGACACCTCTTCCCGTATATGCCTTGAAGAGTTTTACGCTCTATGGACCAACATCTCCTGGTGGTCCCTGGCCCGAAAGACATTTGTCTTACCTGGTGGAACATGCTCCCCATTGAGATCAGGGCCCTGTGGGATCTTCTTCAATTCCACAGGCCTTGCAAGACAGAGCTGTTCCACCAGGCCTTTGGCTGAGGCAGCGGGCATCCACACATGGCCTCCCTGAGGGCTCTCTCATCCATTTATTAACAGCTGGCTATCACTCATTTCTTATAAACTGGCCAGGGAATTTCTCACAACCAACTAATTCTATTCTTGGGCTGTGACACCATTTTAATGTATACTGCTGTGTTTAAATTTTTTAATTATAGTTATGTATTGTTGGAATGTTGTTACCCACCCTGAGCCCGCTTGCGGGAAGGGCAGTCTATAAATATGAAAAATAAATAAATAAACAAACAAAATAGTCTGACTCTTGGGAAAGGGCAGGTCGATGCGGGTGGAAATCCTGTAATTGTGAGAGGATCCAACCTAGTGGGCTGGTCAGTAAAAGCCTGTTTATGCCTGAAAGTATTAAAGAAAATTCAAACTACTCTCTGAAGCCTTAACTAGTTTACATTAATGTGACTCAGCCAGGTTTCTCCTTTGTCTATCTGGAGACCTGTGCTGCTGATCTGTTCCTGAAAACCAATCTGTAAATAAATAATTTTTCTGTGTTGTTAATATACAATTCTTTCCTCAGTGATCACCATATTCTATTTGCTCACCACAAAACTTACCTCACAGCAGCCTATACACTTGCTACCTTTAGAACACCTGGTAACTGAGGGGGAGGTTTATAGTTTAAAACAAACCTGGTTCCCCAAAGATTGTAGGAAGATAAAAAAGGTCTGTCACTGTGGTCACATCATAGTAACACATCATTCAAATCTACCCAGTTCTCTGGGATCAACCCAATTATTCCGGGGCCTGTTTGATTTAGGATAACCTTATGGATGAAATGACACACAGCCAAGGAAACACAAAAAGTAATGCTCAACACATAAAGAAAAATGCCTTACAGAATTGGCTTGTTTCCTCGCTTGATTTATCAGTTCTTTGATTTGAGAGATGTTTTTCCCCAAGTTATCCTGAAGTTGTTTGATTGGTTTGAGTTTATCCATCAGCCGATCTGCTTCCTTTTCCAGATTTTTAACAGTGTAATCAGCATCAGCAACTTGGTGTGAAAAATAAAAATGGTATAAGAGATACTGCAAATGACAAAAACTGGAAAAAAAATCTTAGGTTGTTTTAAAAAATAAAACCAGAATAAAATATAATTTCAGCATCTATTTCAAAGTTTAGCTTAATGGCAACATAAAACATAAAAGCAAATGAGTAGAATTTAGGACAGAACTCTATATAAATAGCTATATGAGATTATAGTTTTGTCAGAGCTTGTCTGAAGTGCTGTACTACTAAAAAGCCAAAAGTTAAATGTTAGCATATGGAGAAAGAGGTCAAATATTGAGTACTTGGGTATGGAAAGGTCAGAGTTCAGGAGCAGTCTACCTTTTATATCTGTCTTACTGAAAACATTATTGATTAAAATGGTACTTCATTAATTTCATTAGTTGGTAAACCAAATAGCAGTGATTAGTCATGTGATTTTAAATCAGAAAGATAAAATAACGGCCTTGGCTAAAATGACTACAAGTTTGAAGTGTGACTGTGGTTACAGATGGTAAACACTGCAACTCATCTTCTGTCTTTCCCTCATTCATTAACTTAATAAGGACTTTATCATGGTTTTGAACTATACAGGGAAGTATGGTATGTCACACTTAAAGTGCGTTCCTGGGCGGAGGGGGGGGGAAGCACACAGAGAACCCAACAGCCACTACAGCAGCACAATCCAGAGATATGCCAGCATAGCAACTTTATGTGCCAGTGCTGAACGCTGGCATGGCACCACAGCATTCCCCACCAGAGTGCCACTGGTGCAACTCACTGGGCCAGAGGTGGGTGGGCCGAGGGGTGGTGACAGTCAGGTCTCTAAACTACTCCAGCCTCTGAACCCCTGGACCACCCTGAGCTGCAACTGTAGAGCCCAGCCACTCTGGGACCCTGTGATAGGGAGAGGCCAGTAGCTTGGTGCACATCCTTGCATCTTCACTACTGTTGGTCCTGTTCCTTCTCCAAGTGGGATCCCTCCTGTGTTCCTCCCATGTGCCACACAGCAGCTGGCTTCCAGAACCATCCATGACAGTGAGAGGATAGGCACAGCCCCGCCGAACTTCCCCTGCCCAGTCCCTGGTGTTCCCTCATTGGGCCATGCCATGACTTTCTCCACCAGGGTTGTGGAGCATCTTTACACCCTCACCCCTTCAAGATGGCTGTTGAGGCTGTTTTGGTTGTTCTCTGGATGCTGGGAATCTGGGACTCCCCGGGCAAGCAGTTGTGGATGGAATATCACAGTGGGTAGACTCTACATCCTCAGAAGGTGGGTGTGGTGGGGGATGTGAAGAGGTTGCCAGTGTGATGGTGCACTCTGGCCCGGCCCCAGATGCTGCAGCCAGTGCAGTATCCAGTGGGACTGGGGACTCATGCACTGCCTGGCCCCTGGGCCCACAACCAAAGAAGTGCATCTCCCCCAGCCTCTAATCTGTGTGGGTGGCCACTGAGAGGAAATGGCTGAATACCCAGTAAGAGTGGATGAATGCTGTGTTCCAGGGGTCAGCAGTGCTTGAAAAGATTCACAGTGGCTCAGGGAATGGATACTAGGCACCTTGAATGGCTGGTGACTGTTGCTAGAGACATCAACAGTCACACACATGGAGGAGGTGCTGGTGGACTTGTCGGAAGTAATCTGTGGCCTCGTGCCAGCCCCCATCCTTGTAGTCCCTCCTCCTGATCCACCAGTGGTGGCAGTGGGGGTTGCTCAGGGTGTCCACTGGGACCATAGTCAGCACTGTGGCCATGTTGCTGGGAGGCACCCTGCCACTGATACTTGAGCACCCATGGTCAGCCCCATGTTCCTTTTGATCTTTCTGTGCCACTTGCATGTGGGCTGTTCCCATTGCTTAACATGGGGCTTACTTCTGAGTGGACCTGGGTAAGATTGCTCCTGGTATGCAGGGTGTCAGGCCCTTCTCCTTTTTTTGTGCTGCTGCCTCTGTTTTCTGGCTGAGGCCTGTGCCTTTAAGAGGGGGCATTATGTGCCACAGGCAGTGTGCAGCCTACCCCTCCCCATCCGTCTTCTTCCATGCCTCAGGGCATGGGTCCCCGTGGCTGCCACCCTCTGGTTCATTGGTTTCCCTCTGTCTGTCATGGCTGTGTCATCACAGCCCTGTGATATCTTGTGAACATAACAGCACAGTTGCTGGGGACATTGCCACAATCTCATCCTGTGCGGTCATACTGTGAGGCTTTTGCTTGAACTCTGGGCAGTGCAAGTTTCCTTTAGGGAACAGACCAGCAGCTCTACTGTTCTATCTGCTTGCAGCCCCCTCCATCTGGATGGCCCTCAGGATTATGCTGACCGTTCTTCAGTAACTAAGAAGATCATCACATCTAAACATGACAAATGAAGCTTACACAAGGGTTGCCAACCCCCCCGGTTTGCCAGGGGTCCCCCCGTTTTTTGGGGGGGTTGTACCCACCGCCGGCCAGATGGCCAGTGGGGGAAGCCCCACCCCCAACACCCACAGCCACCCATCTCTCTCCCTTTAAGGGTGTGCAACCCGTGTTTCATCCCAAGCGCGAACTCTGCAAGCTTGCAGGGAAAAGCCAGCTTCATTCTTAAAAGGGAAATGCAGCTTCTCTTAAAGGGGAAACGCCGGCTGCCAGCTACTTTAAGTGCAGGGAACTGCTGTTTCTGGAGATCCAGCGCACGGCCGGGGGGGGGGGCAGCAGACATCCCCAACGTGATGTCATCACGTTGGGGATGCCCCACCCCTTCCAGGAACGCCCCCAAAGTCCCCCACTGGGGGTGAAAGATGGACTTGGCAACCCTAGCTTACACTAATGATTATGCTTGAACAATTAAAGTTCAGAGACCTTACTCCTAGTGAAGTTTCAAAAGGCTTGAATACTCTGTAAACGTCTAATGTTGAAGAATGCAAGCATTGTGTTTCTGGATCAAACACAGATAATTCTAGCAGCTCAGAAACAGGATTTTATATTGACTATCCCATTGTTTACGTCCAGCACCTGGTACTTATAGATAAAATGGAAAGTTCATTGAAATACCATATACACTGATAGCTATCTTCCATTAACATACCTATTTATTTTCAAAACACACCAAAGCTAGTGGTCACTATTACTATTTATGGACACAATTAATAATGCACTGAGTTAAGCAGCACTTCCTTCTGTTTGTCCTTTAATCTACTGCCAACCAATTTCATTGCAAGTTGCAAGCAGGGAATCAAGTAAATATGACAGATGTAACGAGACTTTATCACACTGTTGAAGTGAGTGGAATTTCCTGAGAATGTCTGCAGCTTTCTAAAGTTTCAATTGTATCTGACCTTTCCAATATGATGAAGATGTGCATCTTCTGCCATTTTCTACTCGTTTTCTGATGTGACTTTTAAATGTAAATGGACAGGTAATATCAATACCCTTCCTGATCTGATATCTGTTGCTTTCATTGGTACAGGTTGCTGTTAGTACCACTGAAGAAGCACTGTATAAATAGTTAGGTATTCTACTGCAACATCTTGCATGGGCACCATGCAAGTATATTTGAGAAAATGAATGAAGCATACAGAGGAAAAGTCTAAAAAGAATAATAAAATCAAAACCTTATACGTACTGATTTCTGTAGGCAAGTTTTGGAGATTAAAAAAAGAAGAAGAAAACCTTGTAAGATAGTAAGTTCAAAGACAAACAGCAACATAATTAAAAGGATTACTGGAAAAAAACATGGAGAAATATACTGACTACTACACATTGAGCTGATTTGACAAATGGAGTGTATTCCCCCCCCCCCAATTTGAGACACATACATTAGAGCACCCAGATAGATTACCACGAAACCTAGGTGAAAAAGTTAGTATCTGATCAACAATGTAAATGAACTTTAGCTACTGAATGCGGGAAAACCTCCCCTCTGGTGGTCTTTACTTCTTGTTACATTGGTTCAGTATAGAAGTAATATTTTCTGCTTCCTTTGCAATGGCACGAGGCCCTCCTTAGGCTGATTATCTTTGTTCCTGACCTCTTGGAGATCCAGTGTTGCTTCAGGTTACATAATTATTGACTCTAGAAATCTGCATGAGCTCAGCTGTGTTAAAATATGTACGTGGGAGTAAGTCTAATAGAACTCAATGGGATTTATAAATAGGTGTGTAAGGGCTAGATCAAGACTAAACCAGCAATTTCCTCCGATTCTCCCTTCAATGCTGCAGATCCCCTCATGCCATTCCTCGGGGTCCCTTAGTCCCCAGCAGCAGCATTTTGTGAAAATCCATAGACCTGCAGTGGCAAGGGGGATGGAGGGAAATGCTGTTCCAGTGATGTAAAAATATAGTCTGGATCAAACCCTAAATGTTTAGGGTTGTATCACAAGGCAGCCAACTGATACAACAGAATTGAAAGGCTTTCTGTTTTCTTTTTAATTTTATTTTTGAGTAAGAGTAAGTTTAAAACCTCCAAGCATGCTGATACTTTCTTGCTGAAAAGGAGACTAGGGAGGGATGCAAAATTTTGTGACTTGGATCCAGCGATGTGCAAGCAGAAACATGAATGGATTTCACACAGTTCTACTTGTGCAAGGCCTTGTGCAACACCTAGTGCTTTCCTCCCTATATATTATAATGCTGAGAACCTGGTTGTACAAGATCTTCCACACATGCAGAAATGCAAGTGGGGATACAGTAAGGTTGACTTAGTGACTGTCTTTTATCTTGTGTTTCTGCTTACACAAGAACTGTAGCATCAGCGGGAATTTTGAGTTGTGAATCAGAACTCTTTGACAGGACTTTAAAAGATACTTCATACATTTAAAAATACAAATGTTTCAAGAATTCTGCAACTGTACATAATATATGCACACTATTACATTTCCAAAAGTGGAATACAGAACTTCTAGGACAGCATTTCAGAGCACCTCTATGCAATACCTCTGGTTTATTGAGGATTATTGAATTTACTGCAATTTTAACTTTTTGCAGCACATAGAAGGGACTTTCAAAAGAATGGCTAGCCCTATATCGTTGTTATACTAAAAGTCACTAAAACTGTGCTAGAGACATTCTTGCTCAATTTTCCTATTTCCAAAATATTGCTACTTAGAGAACATATTAACTGAATCAGCATAAAACACATCCTGAATGTGGCTGTATTACCCAAGAGACTATAATACATCTTTGGCAACAAAAAGACAGCTTTATTACATTTTTCTCTTTTCCTTTCCCCTTTAAAGGTTAGCAGATACATTCATACAACAAAAGCTCACAATTATTTCCACTGTACTAGGAATGATTTTTTTGAAGGACTTTCCCATTTCTTAACTTCAGACACTTACAATGCAATCCTAAGCACTATTAGGTTGCAATGCTATAAACACTTTCCTGGGAATAAGCCCCACTGAATAAAATGGGGAGAGCTGCTCAGGATTCCTCACTCAGTTCTTCATAGTAATGAAAGCATGTTAAAAACTCACTGAATGGATTCTTTGAATATATTGGCAATTATGAGGTATACAAAGACTGTAGGATGAAGTAACACACACACAAAATTCGCTGGGATAGTCCCACATCTATATAGGAGAGGCAGTTGCAAATATTTCTGTTTTTCCCTGATACTTTAGTATATCATAGTATTTGCCCTGATATCCTATAAAATCATATCGTAGTAGTTCTCTTTCACTGCAAAAGAATGTGCCCAAAGACTCAAGAACAGATGGGAAAATAAAATCTCACTGTTTTTGGAGGGATCTTTCACGGCAGCATTTGTTTTGGTCACATCATCGGCAAGTTTTTTGTAGTTGTCTTTTACACCAAGGAGATTCTTGTTGAGATCTCTGATCCTGTCCAATACATCATTTGCAGTGTCATTAGCTTGCTTGGCTTTGTCTTTGACTGCTTGCACCTTGGCTGCCGTATCTGCAGGCAGAAGGGGGGAAATGAGAATGACAGAACAGAACAGCTTGCCCTGTATTGTATGCATGCAAGCCCATCATGGTTGGAATCTGTTATGCTCAACAACAACATTACACTGTGGGAAGAGCTCTTTTATTTTGAATGGAGCTTTACGTAGTTAAGGATAGCAAAATTCTTGATGAGATAGGGTAGTCTACCTAAAAATAAATATAGACTCTGTTGTCACTATTTCAGACTATATTCATCAGATCCATCATCATGGAACTTGTTAGTGATAAGAAAAGCCATCAGATCAGTAGATGTGTGCCATCAGCAGAACATCCTAAGTACAACTATATCCTATTAAATCCACTGAAATCATTTGGCTTAGAATGGTATAATTCTGCTTAGAATGGCATTATCAATATTGTAAGGAAAAGTCTTCAGAAGAAATGTATTATTAATTTTGTGAAATCTGAAGAATACAAAAACTTATTACTTGCACTTGGGAAAAAAAAAAACTGGCAAGAATTATGACCAAAGTTCAAACTTTCACATTATATAAAAAAATATGAGAATTAAGAATACAAAAACTTATTACTTGCACTTGAAAAAAAAAACCTGGCAAGAATTATGACCGAAGTTCAAACTTTCACATTATATATATAAAAAAATGAGAATGGTATTTTCCTGGAAGTCAGCTTCTGGGCATGGTTTTGTTCTGTTAGAAAAGTCCCCCAACCCTCTGTCACCTGCATTGGCAAAGGGAAGAGCACAGATGCTTATGAGATGGTTTAATTAGACCACGACTTTGTTGAATCAGAGAAATCTGTGATCCAGCACAATTTGGCACAGTGAAGCTATGATGCAAAGCTTTATCTAACTATGTTCTTCTCTTTCCCCCTCATTTAATGCCATAGAGAATCGTTCTTTCCCACTAAGAAGTACAGCAACACTTCTGTGATGTTGGGCCAGTTTGTCCCATATGGATAAAACACTGACATCAAAGCTTGACTGCTATTTATATCCTTTGGATGTAAAGTCTCTCAGTCAGTTTCAGTCCCTTACATGAAGGGATGGTTGATATTTCCATGGAAATGATGACTTCTGCCTAACTAGATCACTCTCTCTTCTCTCTGAATATCTCTCGCAGTACTAGCCTTCTACAGTAACAGAAAGTAAATGCACTTTGGGGAAATGTTAAAACCTTGGACATGATGGATTGGCTGGCAGGCAAGCAGTATGTTATCTTTCATTCCTGGGGAAAAAATTAACTTCTAGAACGGGTCTTCTAAGAATGACAAGAAAGAGACAGCTCCTGCCAAGCCAAGGGGGGGGGGGAATGAATATAAAGTATTCCTTCTGCTGTGGCACACAACTCAGCAGCATCATTAAAGAGCTAAAACAGCTGAGAACCTACAGGATAGAGAGGCACACAGAAAAAGTATGATATGTATTCATATTTTTCAGAAGATTAAGAAAGATAAAGCCCAGAAATTTAGCTGTATTCATTTGCACTGAGCTGAAACTGTCCCCTGACTCTGTGGCCCTGTTCACAGACAGTAGAAAGAAAACTCCTTTTGGTGATACTTTGCTGGGGTCTGAATAAGAATTAAATGTTTGTCCACTGTGCATGGAAAGGGAGTGCATACCAGCATTATTGAGACAACAGAACAACATGGTTATCCGATTATGTTCAACTGTGTGAGATGGAAATAAAATTATCACAGTACAACAAAGAAAGACAGGCAGAATCACCTATTGGGTTACCTAGGCAACACTGGGATGCATTCCCTGCCCCCAGTAGGGGTTTCATTTACTTCAGTTACTCTGACATGAATCAAATCTCACTGGTGGCATGACTTGATCTCCCTGCAAAGCTTATCCTTGACTGGATCCCACATGTACTGTAGTAGTACTAAGTAAATTTGACATGTACTGATGACCATACAGTGAAGAAAAAGAGAAGAAAAAAAATAAGGAGCAGCAGAAAGAAAGAATACTATGGCTACAAATAGACATAACAATGAAAATAAGATACATTTGGGTTTTGTTGTCCCAATTTCCTCTTTCACACTGAAAAACTTTGTAGAAAGGTGGTACTACTTACCATTAGGAATTGCTGACAGTTTCCCCAATGTGTCATTCAAAGCTCTCAGGAGATCAGAGTTCTTTTCCTCAGCATCTTTCAACCTATTCTGCATACCTTTTAGATTATCCGCATTTTCTACAAAGAGTACACAAATCAAAGGCTTATTTTTTAATGTACTGAAACCTGTGGTCATTTAACAAGTACAATGTAAAATTATTAACATGTGAAATGGTAACATGATGTATTCTACAGAGGCATCTTTCTTATTATATGTGCACTATATACAGCTCCTCTGCATTGTTCTGCTCATATGCCATCACATTTATAATCTATTCTTTTACAAAAGAGCTCAGGCATATATGAAAGTTATCTCATTTTAGCTCGACAATGACATTTTCAGGAAGTTTATTCATCCATTTATTTAAAGGAGCACAGGACAAGGTACATGCTTCTGCTCCTTTCCATCTTATCTTTACAATATCCTTGTGTGCTGGATTTAGCTAAAAGAAAATGACTGGACCAAGGCTACGCAGAGAGTTACATGGAATGAGGGATTTGAACCTGGCTGTCCACAGTATAGACCAACAATCTAACTACTGTACCACACTGGTCCAAAGGCTGGATAGAGATGAAAACTATTATTAGTATGTAATCAGTGGATAAATGATTAAATTTATTACATTAGGCATTATATCATCCGAAATAAGGACAGCTTTTCACTCCAGTCACTTCTATTAATATGTACATAGGAACAAATATAACACTAGCAGTAAAAAAAAAATCAATCACATCTTCTGAAATTCTAGTCAAGGACTTCCATGATGTCAAAACTCATAATTTTCTCAACATCAATATAATGGAATACCCGGGACTGATAAAACTGTTAACGCCATTATTTTTCAAGTAATGTCCAAAATTCAAGAGGAATATAAAGCTGCACAAAGGGAAGACTTAGTGAACAAACCAGTGCCCATGGGGAAACAGAACAGAAAACCCAGGAAGGGTGCCTTGACATAACTTGCCCCAATCAAGAGATAAAATTGTTCAGTTTCTTGGTTCTTGATATTGTGGTTTCTTTCAACGGTGTGCGCACGAAGAAAGAGGATCAATGAGCTCGGATATAGAGCAGGGTCACAATTAGAGTATTTTGCTTATTATCATAAGATTTAATTGATCTATGACAGCTGCTACAGATGAAATGCCTTCAAAAAGACTATGAATTCATGTTAACTCTAACATGGCCAACATCTGTGACAATACTGGCAATTTATTTTGACACATGCACACAAACAGAAATTATGTTAAGTAAACAAATACTGATTTTAAGGGAAAACTCATCTGTACATAAAATAATAGACTAATATCAGATTAAAATGAAAAACTGTTACAAATCACAAGGAAAGTAATATAATATTCAATAAGCTACTGAAAGAATTGATGTCCTCCTTTATATATGATTCAATATTCCTTTCAAGATATTTTGCATAACACTGATGCTTTTGCAAGATGACACACTCCATAAATGTTTTCTTTGAGAATGAATGAAGATACGTTACAATTTAGATTTGTGGATATTTACAATACATAAGTCAAAAATAAGGAGTACAGTTTGGCAAGGAAAATGCTGATTAGTGATGAAACATCATTTCAGAAACATTTTTTATTAGTTATCCATATTAGTATGAAATGTGCTGCAGAACAAGGAAGAGGAAATTTGTAGAAACAAGGCTTACAAACTAAAGCACAAAAGTGATGGCAAAATTTGAAAAATGGCCCAAGGATCACCAAGGCAGACACCTAAACATTTGATGTCATGAGTTATATGAAAAGACCTGCCTGAAGTTATCAAGAAGGCCCTCGTGCTTCTGTCATTTGCAGAATATACAAAACAGAAATTCTCAGGAGGGCATTCTTATGAAGGGGTCAGAACTGTAATACAATGTACCAGCTCAGGTCATTCTAGTATCACATTGCAATGTTCATTGTACATATCCCCCCATGTTATTGCACGAAATGCCTTATTTATGTATTTATTTAAAACATTTCTATATAAACACACTGTCAGGGAGGAGAGCTAATATAAATTAGTGAGGGAACACTAAACAGCACAAAACCGTCTCCATCTGCTGGCAGACGACAACAATACATCTTTGGGGTAGGGCGGGATATAAATCCAAACATAAATAAAAAAATAAAAATAAAATAAATAAGAGACATACAAATATCCTTGGAGAGGGTTTTCCAAAATTTTAGTGCCACAAATTAAGTACTTTTTGCAGGTTCCCACTCATCTAGCCCCTGATGGCAGAGGCACCCAAAGCAGGTCCTCTGGAGATTATTTGAGTGGTCAGGTTAGTTTATATGGGAGTTAACAGTCCTTAAGGTGTGCTGGCTTGAAGCCGTATAAGGCTTTATGTTAACACCAGCACTGTGAATTGGTCCTGGTAGCAAAATGGTAGCCAGTGTAGATGGAACAAGACTAGTGTGATATGGTCCCTATGACACATGGCAGTCATCATATTGGCTGCAGCATTCCATACCAACTGCAGCTTCTGGACAATATTCAAGAGCAACCCCACGTAGAGCACACTACAGTAACCTAATCTAGATGTTATCAGGACATGAAGCACAGTGACCAGATCCTTCCTGCCCAGGAAGGGCTGCAGCTTGGCTTCATCATGGTATGTTAAACTGTAGACAGTTTTGTTGCCTCAGACTAGGGGTCCCCAACATGGTGCCCATGGTGCCATGACCCCACAGGTACTTCCCTTGGCAGTCAACAAGATTTTTAGAAAGTGGGCAGGGCAACTGTAAGGCAGAGCTTGTTATTGGCTATCCTCATTCAAACGAAAGCTTCAAACAGCTTCAGCCACTGGAGGATCAGGAAGACTGGTAAACACCTGTACTTGTGGTTCTCTTCCCTCTTCAGGCTTTCCTTCTTTTTATTCCATTTTCTCCCTCCTCCCTTTGGCTTTCCTTAATGTATTTCTATTCTCCTTTTGTGATTCTTTTGCAAAACAAACTCTCAGTTTCATCTACAAGTTGAACTTTCAAGATCTGCAGTTTTCAGTGGATGTTTTGACAACATGTCTGCAACTACAAGTGTTTTTCCTGGTCTATATTCTGCTGGGTGGTGATGGTGTTAGATGCTGGTGTTTTATTGCACCAAGCAAATTAGTAATCTTTGGCACTTTATTTGTACCTGATTCAGTTTAGCAGTGGTACCAAAGGTTTATGGTCTGTATAAAACTGGAATGACTCCAGACCATAAAGATAATTTGAAAATCTTTCACATGCCCAAATGGCTGCCAAGCACTCCTCTATTTGGGCATAATGGGTCTCTGGGTCTGTTAGCGTCCTCAAACAAAATGTCACAGGTTTCAACTCTCTCATACTCCTAGAGTAGCAGTTCTCCTAATCCATAGTTTCTAGCATCAGAACTAATGAAATGCTAGTACTATGTCAAAAGTTGCTTTAACTTCAGGAAGGCTGAGTCTTGTTTTGAGTCTCAGCGCCAAATGATGTCTGCTTTTGTTCTGTGGGTGCAATACCTCTGCCAAGTTTGGGAAAAAAATCTGTCCCGATTATTTATTTATTTCATTAAACTCATAGCATGTCCTGCTCACATTGTAGGCTCAGGGTGGGTAACAACATATATGTATCTGAAATTAATGCAGATTTACAATTTTAAAAACAAATTACAATCATAAATTTAAAATCCATAAATTGACCATTACCCAAAACCTTTTCAATTCTGTAGTGGATCTTGGATGTAGGTGTCAATTTCTGAGATGGCCTCTACCTTCTTTGGGTCAGGACATAGCCCATGCTCATCTATGTGATGTCCAAGGTAGGTAAATTCTGTCTGGCATAGGAGAAATTCCTTTCATTCCGTTTTAAGCCTATTGTTCTAATAGTGGCTAGGACCTTGTTTAGCCTTTCATCGTGTTCTTCCTCAGTGCAGCCGTATGCCAGAATGCCATCTATAAACACAGATGGACCTTCTAGGTATTGGCATAGTTCTACCATTGCCTTTTGAAACAATACCAGGTGCTAGAAATTCCAAAAAGTAATCTGTGGAAAAAATATCTCTCAAATGGCCTAATGAACGTGGTTAGTTTAGCACTATCTGGACCCAACTGGATCTGCTAGAATTCCCTGGCGATATCCAGCAAGGAAAACATGCAGGCAACTGCTAGTCATGGAAGGAGATCATCCATAAGTAGTTAGAATGTAGCTCTCTCTTTGTACTGCATGTACACTGCCACCCTTTTTTGGTACTGGCACCATGGAGGTACATGAGTCCATAGGTTCTGTAACTGGCTATATAACACCACATTTGACCATCCTATCAAGTTCTACTTTTATTTTCAGGAGTAAAGGTGTTGCTATTGCTCTGGCTGTGCAGATGGAACAGAGCACAGCCACTTCTTTGAGCCATGTATGTGTGTGTGTGCGTGCTCACGCACATGCAGTCTTCAAGATTCCTATCTTGTTATGAGGCTCCACAGAGAGCTCTTCTAGGAAGTGCACCAAGCCCATTGCAATGGCAGTACTGCGACTCAGTACATTATTAGTCTGGGCACAAAGCTCATATACTCTAAACTCATTATCTTTTTGTTTGTATTGGATATGAGCCTGGAAATACCTGCACAGTTTAAATTGTGTCTTCCAGTCCTGGAGAGGATTGCAGATGTCTGACAGAGACTGGGTGGGTCACCAAAACAGCCAAGGCTTTTTTTCTGTGGGAATGCGCCGGAACAGAGTTCCGGAACCTCTTCAACAAAATTCTTTTAAACTTCATGAGTTTTCAGTACACAGATTGAAAACTTCATTTCCCTCGTGAGAGTTCTGGTACCTCTTTCTCCAGGGGGAAAAAAAAGCCCTGGAAACGGCTATAGACAGACTCTGGGATTATGCTTACATCAGTTCCAGTGTCAATTTTGAATTTCACTGGGAGGCCATTAATCTGCAGTGAAAGCTCCCATGGGTCAAAGGGATTGTTGAGGCAACTACTTGGTCTTAGAAAGACCTGGTCACTGGTATTATCTTGTTTTACTGTCTCTTGCACCCTTTGACTATGACAGACCATTGCAAAGTGTCCTGTCTTCTATTTGTGGCACTCAGAAGTCTTC